TATTATTTTACGGTATTAAACATTGAAATACGTATTGAGAAAAGGACAGATGAATGAGAGTGATAAGTAATAATTGCCTTATCTAATTTCTTATCAAGGTATTAATGCCAAGTTTGTAATGTATACACATTATTATCATATGTATACACAGTAATCATGAAAAGATAGCGTTTTCTATACTTCCTCTTATATGCTAGTTCCTTATCTCATTTTTTCTACTCATCCATTTAAGCATTCTTATCTCTGTAACACTTATTCTCTGTTCTATTCTCTTGTCAACCGCCCAGCACTCTGTACCACGCATCATAGCTGGTGTCACTATTGTCTTATAAAATTTAATTTCAGTCTCATTGGAATTCTTTTTTTGCATAACTAACCGCAAGCTTCTCTCCACTTTAACCAACCGCACTTAAACCTATGTTTTACATAGGTTACTCGTCACCTCTCCTATCACGTCATCGTTTATTGTCAATTCAGTATGTTGAAAAATAAACAAATCAAAATTATTAATTTTTATATTAAAACCTTAAATATTTTCCTTTTATTCAATATACATTTTTTGAAAATTTAATTCTTAACCTGCCTACAGAAAGGGATTCAAAATAACAATTTTTACTCATAAATTTAACTTTATCAACTTAATTATTGAAAATATTCCAGAAATACTCAGAGCTCTAAATATATATTAAACTAAAACGTATAATAAATTGTATAAGTGCAAAAAAAAAAATTTTGGAAAATGACCGCCAAATAAAAACAAAAATGTTATTTTTATGTAGAAATCATTGTTTAAAATGTTAACGTTTGATACTTAAACGTGAACTATTTATGTTAAAAATGAACAAAGCATTACAATTTTAGCTTCGATGCGAAGCTGAGAAAGTATTGGTTTTACTAAAATGTGTTTATTTCTTTATTAAAATACTAATACCATCTATAAATATTAAAGTATAAAGAGAACTAATAACAGTCAATAAATAATATCATTTTCTTCAAGTTTTATGACACTCAAAGCAGTTTTATATGGGAAGTCGAAAATATCATAGACTTCCACCATACTATCAAGTTCTTTTGGTCTACATTTTAGCTTCGATGCGAAGCTGGGAGAGTATTAATTCTACTATAATGTGTTTTTTTTTTGTGTCTGTTAGCACTTTTTCTCAGCTATCACCGAACGAATTTCTTTAAACGACACGTCAAAAGATAAAAAATTGTATCTAGTCGAAGACATAACACTCAAAAATTGAAAAAATTTCACTTGTTGCCCGTAAATGGAGGAAACCTCTAAAAAAATTACAACTTTAAAAAACGCTAATTTTCGAAATTTTTTCAATTTTTATTACTAAAAACTGCCGTAACTTTTTCAATAATGAACATATCAATATGATTTTTTTTTATAGATGCTTGATGTCTTTACTTAACATTTGGTATATTTTTTTTTGTAAATCTGACACTTAACCTGCCTACAGGGAGGCATTTAAAATGACAAGTATTTCACAAAAAATTAATTTTTTCAACTTAACTTTTGAAAATGTTTCAGAAGGTCTGACACTTTTATATATATCTTAAATTAAAGCTGATGTAATGTACTTTATTATGGAAAAATAAAATTTGACCTCTGGACTTGTCTTCATGGTGAAAATGGCTACCGAATGCTATTTTCATGTGAAAATTTTCGATTCTTTTTTACAATTTTAACTTTAAAATGCTATAACTTTTTGAAAACTGTATGGATCAACACAATTTTTTCATGAGAAGTGTATTTATGTACATCTTTTATCCGACATACTTTTTTTTTAAATCGGACGATTTCCCTATATACAAGGGGGGTTTAAATCTTGAAAATGCATATAGCAAGTAGAACTTTTTCAAGTTAACTTTTGAAAGTGTTCCAGAAAGTCTAACACTTTTATATATATCTTAAATTAAAGCTAATGTAATATACTTTATAATGGTAAAAATAAATTTCGGACTTTATTCTATCTTCATGGTAAAAACTTTTTTTTTTAAAAAATTTTACCAAAAAATGGTAAAGTATATCGAATGAAAAAGGGATTATTAAAAATTATTATTTCTCATAAAAAAATTATGTTGATCCTTACACTTTTCAATAAGTTATAGCATTATAAAGTTAAAATGTAAAAAATTAAATCAAGAATTTTCACACGAAAATAGCATTCAATAGCCATTTTCACCTTGAATACAAAATAAAGTCCGAAATTTTTTTTTTAATAATAAAGTATATTACATTACCTTTAATTTATGATATATATAAAAGTGTCAGACTTTCCGGAACACTTTCAAAATTTAAGTTGAAAAAGTAAATTTTTT